GTCACTCAGCACGACCTCCTGTCAGTCACTCAGCACGACCTCCTGTCACTCAGCACGACCTCCTGTCACTCAGCACTCTGGGGATACCCAACAGCAGAGTGAAAACCTTGTGGTGGCCATGATCTCAACATGTGAACAGTTGACGAGTCAGAAATGAACAGAAGGCAGAAGGGCACCTGCACGGGAGCTCTTGACTCCTTATGTCCTAACGTCCCCAGTGACATCAGTGCAGCGCCCTACGGCGCAGCCCTCCAGGTGAGCTTTCCCGTGGTGTCCTCCTGGTCTGTGTGGCAAGCTGTGGGGGAGGAGGTGGGCCCACAGGTCTGCTGCATCCCCTGGAACCTTCGAGGGAGGGATTCTTGTTTGGAAACATGTCTTATTTTCTTACTTTTTCGGAGTTTGGTTTTCTTGCCTCCAAAAACATCGTTCAGCTCTCTCTCCATCTTTGGTGGACTCTACCCCGCTGAGGTTGTAAGTCCTGCAGACCCCCAGCCTGCTGGCTTCCCTGCTCCTGCCCTGGTATAGCACCCCTCCTCTGCGCTGTTTCTCTCATCTGCGGCCAAGACTCCTTTTAGGAAGTAGCTCAGGGGAGAGAAGGCAACATGGCAGTCACAGATGAAGACTGTTTAATGAAGCATTTACAAATCCCTTGTTTCTGAAATATAAAAAGCAGCAAACTAAACTTAAGTTGGAGAAGTGAAACTCGACTCCAAGTCCTTGGTATGGCAGAGAATGAACTTCTGTTCCTGCCCGAGTGGGATGAGTGAGTGGGCTTCCCATGGTGTTCTCGCCTGGATTCAGTTCATCCTCTCTTAGGAGGACCTTCTCCTGGTTCCGAGTCCGACACACCTGTAGGAACGAGCTCACTCTCACTACGTCTGAACCTAGCATCATGGGTGGCAGGACAGAAGTGAGCTACAGGTATGGACTGAAGGAGCAATCCATGAACTCAGAGTTTAATCTCATGAGAAGAGCCGAAAGAAATAGCACGAGAGCGCATGTGTTTGAGGATGCTGTCACAACTACTGTGCTGTTCTGGTCCCAGGTCACCATCACCGACACTCAGGAAGTCTTCTTGGAGTCACCTCTGGGCGCACTGAGCTATCAGTCCACCTGGGGTGGAGCTTGTTTTGTGAAACTTTCTCTGAGTCTGCGAACCTCTCGGTCTCTTGTGTCTACACGTGTGTGTGCGTCTTTACACGCCCCTCTCTTCCATGGGATCCAGCAGGACCACAGAGTCCAGGCGGCTCCCCTGTGGTGTAACATGGAGGGGAAGGGACCTGAGGGTTTGCAGCAGTAGCCAGGGCAGGCTCTGCTCCCTGAACAGGCGGGGCTAGTGTTCAGCGCTCCACAAAGGCCTGTCTACGTTGCCCCCTCCAGTGTGACCTACCGCTGCACCTTGTGTCACTGGAAGGAAAGAGGCCCTTCTGGAGAAGCCAGGGAGACGTGCATCCCAGAAGCAGAGCCGGCTCGAGGCTTTGCGCCCAGGGCCTGCGCCTGTCAGCATGGTCTGTCAGCATCCAGGCCCCTGTGGTTTTCCCTGTAGCCCTCTGTGTCACATGTGACCACCCACCCAGTCCGGCCGGAGCCAGGCACTTCTGCTGTGATGGCCCCAGAAGTGCGGCGGTGCCCCAGCTGTGCCCTGCCTGGGAGAATCTTCCAGCATCCCCTGTCGGACCCACCTGTCGTGTCCATCCTGCTGCTGAGGACCCTGAGAAGTGCGTCTTCTCTGCTGATCAGGACATAGAGCAGAGGTTCCCAACTGTGGGGGACACAGCGTGTGCTAGGACATAAACCCCCAGAGAAGTGGGAAAGGACGTAAAGCACAGCTTCCCAACTGTGTGGGGACAGGGTGTGCTGGGACATTTTGGCTCCTCGCAGTGCGTGCTGCTGGTGGCAGGGTCCTGGGGCTCCCGGGCCAGCCTCACTGAGCTCCCAGCAGCCTGGTAAGTGCCTTCTGCATGCTGTAGACACAGCTGGTGGTGTGCCTTGGAGTGCTAGTGTCGGGAAGCCCTGTCCCAGGCACAGCCAGGTTGGATGTGCACTGCCATTTTGCCATGATTGTTCTAGAACACCTCTTGACGAGGGGCCTACAGCTCCATGTTCTTCCCCCTCTTCCTCCTCCCCAGAGGGACCGCCTCCTGCAAGTGGTGTGCGGCTTCCTGTGAGTGATGGTGTCACACACGCATGCAGGTGCTGTGCCAGTGGATCTCACCTGTAGGCTCCACCCCTGCAAGTACGTGTTCACAACTCACTTTCACTCAGGTCTCATACTTCTATAACTGAAGTTTGACTCACCTGCACTTTTAGAATCACTGATGTATTCTGAATTCTTGTTGCTGTATAAATTCGTGTTTTCTGTTTAACGTATCTTTCTTTATTATTGTCTCCCATTCACCCTTCAGGTTACGGCATTTCTCTTTCAACACATGCTTTCCTTCTGCTGACTTGGGAGATAAAATTCTCTTTATACTTTTTCACTTATCACTCTTAAATTTTAACATGAATACACAACAAGGCAGCTAATGAATAATGTGAAAACCTCAGAAAACATCATTTCCAATTATGTTCACTGTTCCAGTCTTCACTTACTCCAACTTTGTTTTCTAAAACTTTGTTCTCACCTATTAAACCTCCTCCTAGCTTATGATTCACATTACTTGTGGTGAACTGTTCATCAGGTAAACTGGCCACCAGTGTGTTAACACGGCTGTCTCTTGTGTCTTACTGTTTTCTTCTGAGTTAAATTTCTTTTACTTTGAAGATTTGCGTTAGACATCTTTCCAAGTCTTTCTAAGGATCTGTGAATAGTAAATTCTTAATCTTGGTTAAAGAAAAGCAAGAAGCAAAAAGCAAAGCTGGGTTTCCCTGGTGAATTTGTCTGGCTGAGTTGAGGTTGGTTTACAGCGGCTTTTCCCTCAGTAAGGATTTTTCTCTTCTTTTTTCTATCGATAAGAAACATATCAATATGATCATTATTACTTTGGTGATAGTGGCTCTTTTCTTCCTGTCTGTGTGTATTAATCTTTTTCCCCTTTGTCCTTAGTATTATGGATTGTCATTGTAATATGTTTGAGTTGAATTTCTTTTAAAACTTATTCTGCTAAAACCATTTATGCATCTGAGGATCCATGTTAAGAAATTCTGAAAGATTCTTAGTCGTTCCTCTGGTTGCTGTGTCTCGGTCATTCTCCTGATTCTGTATTTCTGAACATTCTGCTGAACACACATTTAGCTTTCTCACGCCAGCCTTCACTTTTTCT